TCTCCGAAAATAATTGCTACCGCATTTAAACACTTCGTTTATTTTCGTTCTCCTCTGTGTAGGCGCAGATGCGGTGGCGGTGGCGGCAGGCGTTGCTGCTGCCTAGCTGGCCCGCGTTGCCGGCTTGATGACGTCAGCAGTCATGGCGAACAGCAGCGCAGTAGGCGTGCAGGATGGTGTCAACGGGACCCCGTGGGCTGACCTCTGGTGGAAGGAGAGGGTTCAGGTGAGCCGTCGACCTCGTTTGTCGATGTCAGAGTCACTGGACAGACATGGAGGCACTACTATACGCGGAGGCAATGCATGTAAACAAATCTCCGTTTTGTAGCACCAGATGTGGGCAATGCACATGCGCAGAAGCCGCATACGGCGCGCCCACAGCAGCGCCCCCATGGCGGTGTGACCTCCGAGTGTTCAGGTTTTGCGCTAGCTGGCAACTTGGGCGTGTTCACCGTCTAAAATATTTGAAGGTGGTATACGCGTACAAGCAATGTGAGTTTTGTTTCTTTCATTAGAGGACGGTTCAGAAAAAAGAAAAACTACTTACAATTTCTTTTCCTACACTACGAATTTGCCGTTTTGTTTTTGTGACTTCGCGCGACTAAGTCATCAAACGCAGGCGTCGAAACACGGCTGGACCCGTGAATCGATGGGGCGTGCATACGCCTATTGAATCTAGCGTCGGCTGCCGTCAAAACACACACTGGGAAAGTGGATTTCACTTCACAGAAACCAGTCGGGTGTGTATGAATCTTTGATGGCACCTTGACGAAAAAGGGGGGGGGGGGGGAAATAGTATTTCTTGTGCGTGTCCTTTATAATTTTCCGAGCGTGCAGATCAATTATGTTATCACCCTGAAAATACTGTTGACACTGACAGCCTAAAAACGCCGAACATGTCTTAATATATTCACACCGCTTGTTTCGTGATCTGTTTATGGTCGTCTTTTGCGGTTAATACAGGAATATCATCGATGAGGGGCGATAATAAGGTCTGAGCTCGAAGCGCCCAGCGTTTGTTGGATGCAAATAACTGTAAGTAAAAGCCTTTTTAGTGCTCATTCAACTAATTGAGATCGTATAAAATAAATTATTTGGTTCACAAATTTACAGTTCGCACGAACAAAATATTAGCACGAGTGATTCGCCGCATATGGTGCTGCGTTGTCTAGAATTCACCAAGAGCGAATGTGACCGGGCCACTACACCTTTCTAACCTGTAGCAGGGGGCTTAAGCAAGAAATTTATGTTTGGGAATTTTCTTTTATTTGATCGATACATACTGTTGCGAATAATCGTTGCCAGTTTAGAGCCCAATGAGCGCGGTCGTGCATGACCTCCAAAACGATGAAGCAGAGATCCGCTATTTCAAATTCGCGCTTTGACGAGGATTGCTGTTTGCCGAATTTCCCGGTGCCACCCGAAGGGCAGACTTGTTCCCACTGTGTGTGCACTACTGCAGCCCCACGTGTTGCCCTTTTGTCGACTCGGTAATCGCTCGTTTGCGCGGATGTGTTTTCGCGCCGGATGTACGAATATTAAGAAACAAGTCTATCGTGACATCGGGGCGCCTAATGCTCAATATGTTTCTAACAATTCCGACATTCACCTGCCGTGGGAATGCATCTTTAATGTGCATCTCAGTGCGTGATTTTACCAATGCACGCCGATGCAACATACGGTCAAAACGACATCGGCAAAGGAAATTGAACCCAGCTTTCTTGATTCTGCACCGCCAATCAATTTTCTCGTTTCTGCTGCGCTACGACGACCTTCCTCATTGTCTGAATCTGGGTGAGAAAGTACCGAGCAATTATTGGTTCACTTTTGGTGACTTATATTTTGTACGTGATTCAACCAGTTTGCATATCATAGCGATGCGAGAGAAAGCGTGTTTTTGCAGTGTAGTTAAAAGAAACAGACAAAAAAACAAAAACAACGAACAACACTTTTTGTATTGAGACGCCTGTTTGATTATGACTTCTGTGGTACCAAAAGATGACATTTTACCTGCAGAAGCCCATTAATAATCTCTTAGTAGGATCGTTCATTTAGCGGTTATGTGAAAACATTTCAGACGGATGTGGGTCATGGATTGCACTTCTCACAAACATTGTCTTTTTTGTTCTGCGTGCGATGAGGTATGATGAATACATTGGTTCAGTTTGGGTCCATGTCTATCATCACCACTGTATCGATATTGTATATGAGGAATGAAAACTATCGTACCAATAGGCTTGGCAGAGAAATGGAAACTTGATACAAACACGATTTCGTTGCGCTTTTTCATCATAGTCCTCCTTACTTTCCCAACTCTGAGTAAATCATGTTGTAGCAAACTTTTTTTTTTAAATGTTGAATATTTTATTTGTTATATACTCCAAGTAGTTCTGGATATTGAGGACATATTTTTGATGGCGCCTTCCTGTGGTTCCTCTACACTATGATTTTACGACCAAGATTACCTGTGGCGAGCGACAGGTTTCAAGGTATAAGTAAATACGGTGGAAGCATGGAGTCATCGTGCTCTTAAATAAATACACTGCCAAAGTTAACACTCTAATGCTCCTGTTTTACGGGCACTAAAAAGGCATTCGAAACAAACCCCCATAACGACGGACGAGATTTAAAGATGTTTTGCTGATTCTTGAAGTACGTAAGCTCGTTCTCAAGACATTTTAAAGTGCCCGTAAAAGGGAGGAACGACATTTTTATAAAACGCCCAGACAAGAAAACCTAGAGAACGATGATCGAACAACTTGACGACGTTTCAAATATTTAAGACGCCGTTGTGCTGTCCGTTCTTTTTGTTTAATTTTTGGCTCGGGATTTTATTATGAGGACGCCCGTTCAACCGCTAGCCTGCGCTATTACCCTTATTTGAGTATGGCATTACACTCTTTTTTACGTCAAGGGAAGCAGAATTAATACTCCCAAGGACGTCGAAGTGACCGTTCGGTGAAGCTTGGCCGAGGACGGCGACGGGTTCGGCGGCCCACTCCACCAAGCAATCAACGTCGCCAAAAAAGCAACACACACACACACACACACACACACACACACACACACACACACACACACACACACACACACACACACACACACACACACACACACACACACACACACACACACACACACACACACACACACACACACACACACACACACACACACACACACACACACACACACACACACACACACACACACACACACACACACACACACACACACACACACACACACACACACACACACACACACACACACACACACACACACACACACACACACACACACACACACACACACACACACACACACACACACACACACACACACACACACACACACACACACACACACACACACACACACACACACACACACACACACACACACACACACACACACACACACACACACACACACACACACACACACACACACACACACACACACACACACACACACACACACACACACACACACACACACACACACACACACACACACACACACACACACACACACACACACACACACACACACACACACACACACACACACACACACACACACACACACACACACACACACACACACACACACACACACACACACACACACACACACACACACACACACACACACACACACACACACACACACACACACACACACACACACACACACACACACACACACACACACACACACACACACACACACACACACACACACACACACACACACACACACACACACACACACACACACACACACACACACACACACACACACACACACACACACACACACACACACACACACACACACACACGCACACGCGCACACGCGCACACGCGCACACGCGCACACGCGCACACGCGCACACGCGCACACGCGCACACGCGCACACGCGCACACGCGCGCACGCGCGCACGCGCGCACGCACGCACGCACGCACGCACGCACGCACGCACGCACGCACGCACGCACGCACGCACGCACCAGCAACAAAAGAACACGACGCTGTTTAGGGTGCAACTATTGGGGAGGAGATCGGACCGTGGCGTCCCTATCGGCTAACTTTAAAACTACACGGATGGGGAAAGCAATAACAATGACACAGAGCTCGGCTGACTTAACCGAGCGGCGCGTCAGCGTTTGGCTGGAGTTCGTGTGCTCCGGTTGCCTGAGTTGGGGGAAGGGCTCTTGTGTCATCACTCCAGCCTGCATGAACAATGCAGCATGCAAGGTGCATACGCCCAGCTCAGCAGAAAAGCCGAAGTGGGTGAAGATGTGACGTCTGCTTTCGGGAGAGGTCCGGCCCTAACAATAAACGTCACTTCGTTTATTTTTAGCATTTTTACGTTTAGACGTCAGCATGGTTACAAGGCCCGTGGGCCTGTCCACAGGCCTTGTGTTGGGTAAACACCGAGGAGTGGGGGCAACAAATACGGCCCCTTAGCAAGAAGCGGATCAGAGCGCCCCCTATAGCTAGATCTCCTCGCCAATAGGAAGCGCTCCGACCCGTTTGTGGTCCCTACATGTCGATGTTTACCCAACACAAGGCCTGTGGACAGGCCCACAGGCCTTGTAGGCATGTTCACGTCTTAACGTAAAAATACTAACTATAAACGAAGTGACGTTTAGTGCTAGACCCGGATCTCTCCCGAAAGCAGTCGTCAGAGAAGGCGGGCTTGACCGACTTCCGCTTTTGTGCTGAGCTGAGCACCGTGCATGCTGCATTGTTTATGCAGGCCTGAGTGGTAACAAAAGAGCCCGTCCTCCCCCTCACTGAAGAACACGAACTCCAGCCGAACGCTGATGCGGCGTTCGGTTGTCAGCCGAGTGCTGAGTCATTGTTATTTGTGTTCCCCATTCGTGTAGTTCAAAAGTTAGCCTTTTGGGGCCCCCACGCTCTGATCTCCTCCCTAATATTCAAGGTCAGCTTAAGAAATTCTGGGCGTGGCGAGCAGCGTACGACTTATTATCGCTCCTAAGCCATTGGGGTTGCGGATTCAGTCGATAAGAGCACCGAAGAACCAATCACAGCTCAAATAAACGTGATCCTTATAGGCCCCGCCCAGCATTTCTTAGGCTCTCGGTGACCATAGCGGGGTGTAAGATGGGCAGGTGGAGAAACGAGAACCATTTGGGCGGTCTGATTGTGTTTCGGCTTCAGGAAGGTTCAAGTACTCCACATAGATGGCGCCA